CCTATCCCCTAAGGCACAGCGAGGGTCGGGGGTTCACAGGCTGATGGTTTGTCTCAGGGGTGCCGAAGTGCCTGTCACTCTGGGGGTGTATTCTGAGTGAGCAAGCCCTGGGTTCCTGCTCTGCCCCTTGCTCCAAGAGGGGCCAACCATAATTTTTTCTAAATGTATATTTTCTGCTTTGAAAGAGGGAAAAAAGCGGGGAGATTTTATAAAGAACAAAGGAAAAGAGACAGACCTTTTTGCAGTATGGGTTTTTCACTTTCATTTGCATTTGCTCAAAAACAAGTGGGGACCTGTTCCGTGCGGTTCTACTGTGCGCAGGGTGGTGTGTCTCTCTCCCTGATCATGTGTCAGCTCTGGCTGCGGCACCGCCGCCTCCCCTCCCTCTCTCTCTGAGGCCCCTTTCTCATGGTCTCTCCCTCCTCGGGGACAGCTGCAAGAGGATAAATATCTGGAAAACAGGAGTGAGGTCATCCTGGAGAGCTGGACACCTAACGAGCAGCTCGAGCTGGGTGCTGCTCCTTCCTGCCAGCACTGCTTGCAAAAGGATATATGTTTAGGGAACTTAGCCAGAAAGAAATGCATTGAAAATGAGCTATGAAACTTGGACATGCTGGACAAATAATATTTCAGAAACTCTTAAGGCGAACTCTCACCGGCCCAACCCTGGGTGGGGCTCATGGCTGGGGGCCGCAGTCACGTGCAGGGCAGACCTGCAGCTCTTGTCGCCTGTGTGAGGCCCTTCCACGGCCATGAGAAGACTACAAGGGGCAGAGGCAGCTCCACTTACCCCCATAGCAAGACAAATGGGCACCTTCTAAGGCAACCGAACAGAAAGGTGCTAGGACATGAAAAGCTTTTCAAACTCTCCCTTGATTAGCTAAAAAGACCTACCTTTGGGGAATCTCTGTAGGACGTGTAGTGTACCTGACAAAATACCTACACGGATAAACGGTAGGTGGAAACAGTGCCAGGCTCTAGCCTCGCTCTACTCCACCAGAGTGGAAGCCCCCGAGGGGACCCTGCAGGCCGCCCACCAGCCTGGACAGGTCTTAACCCCGGACACAAGGGGGCCCAAGCAGGGTTGGGTCATCCACCTCTAAATGGACCTAAGAGGTATAAAGGAGGAAAAGGCAGGGTGCCTGAAATACTCAAGCCCAGACCGGTCCCGATTTTTCCTCATAAGTATAGCCTTGAATGACATGCAGCCGTCAAAACTGAGCCCCTTCCTGTAGCTCGGAACAGGTGTCGCCTTCCTTCAGGGAAGGCCGTGAGGACCAGATGGGGTCACAGAAGCACAGAGCAAATAAGAAGCATACTGTCCACTTTCCGTGCAGCGGGTCATTTACTCTTCACAACAGCTACAGCTACAGCTAAACAAAGGGGTTGATAATCCGCCAGTGATCACACAGCGAATGCACAGCACAGCCAGAACTGGAATTCACATGGTTCGAGTCTAGGGCCCACACTCCTCAATCTTACACCATTTAAACCAAGGCAGAAACTCGCCTGATAGTTGGCACCCATGGTCAAACAATCAGTGATTATCCTCTGCCCTTCGTCTCGCAAGATTACGCTGAGAAATTAATTTTTAAAATATATGTGAAGAGGGCCGGTTATTTAGCTCAGTGCCACCACCTCACAAGCACAAGGTCCTGAGTTCAATCCCAGGTTCCCCCCTCAAAAAAAAAAAAAAAAAAAAAACAAAAAACAAAAAAACAAAATGTGACGTTTCTATGAAAATCATGAAGTCCAATGAAAATACAGGACATTTAAAATAAAGTTTTACTGAGCTAGACTTCACGTACCATACAATTTACCCTTTATACTGTATAATCCAGTGAGTTTTCTTGCAACTTTTCTTAATGAACTTATGCAGCCACCTCTGCCATCGATTTTCAACACCGTCAGAATTAAACCCTACACCTTTTATCACAGTCCCCCGTCCATCCCCACCCTCATCTGAGCCTTGTCTCCTAGCTGTCTCCTGGCTCTACTCACAGACTTGCTTATTCTGGGCTTTTTGAGCAAACGGAGTCATGGAGGGTGTGGTCTTCTGCGACCGGCTTTTTTTCTTTTCTTTTACTTTACACTGATATGGCATGATCAGGATGTCACTGCTTTTTATCAAGGAACAATACTCTATTGCGTGTGGCACTGATGTTCTAGAATTGTCAGCCCTCTTGCTTCTAGGGCCATTAGACTTGACAGGCACTTCATAGAGAAGGAAGGCCAGCGCCACCGTGCTCATAAGGAGGCTGTGGCCCAGAGACGTAAGGACCCTCGCCAAGCCACCTAGCTGGTTGGGGACAGAGCTCAGCTCCTGCCTCACTGCTGTCACCCCAGGTCATCTCACTTCATTGTGCAACGCATTGTTGGAGACACAAACCAAAGCACACAGCTTACTGATGATGGCCCAGAAAAACCATCTCCACCAACATTAGCTTGGCACCATTCGCTCCACAAATAGATACTGTGTGAGGGGCTGGGGCCCCGACGAGGTACAGGACGAACAAAACCCCTGCCCTTCCTTTCGGAGTGTCCTTCTCCTAGGGAGGCAGAAAAATGAGCAGGCTCTAAGCAATAAAATAAATGTTCATTAAAGGCCACGAAAGACAACGATGTGGGCCTAGGGTGGTGGGGTGGGCGTGAAGGACTCTGTGTGCAGGCCAGCATGGGGTCCTGTGTCAGGCACGTGGTGGAGGCTGTCTGAGACCGAGACCCAGAGGAGGAGGAAGAGAATCGGGCTTATGAATATGTAGGGGAAGAAGACGCCAGGCAGAGGACACAGTATGTGCAAAGACTGGAGCAGGAAAGAGCTTGGCACTCGAAGGGCAGGAGGAGGCGGAGGAGGGGAACTGAGAGAGCAAGTTGGTGCGACTGGAGGCTGGTGGAGGAGCTGTCCTTCAGCCTGTTCTCCATGACCATGCTCCCAGAGCTGCCCCGAGAGGCACAGGAGGCCCCGTGGGAAAGGACCTCGGTGGCTTCCAGGTCCCTTCCTGTGATTCAGTAAGTTCCACTTATCACAGGAAGCTGGAGGAAATCCGGGGTCTCTGTAGCAGACTTCTGAGGATAGAAAAGTGCGTCTTTGTGTGTGTGTGTGTGTGTGTGTGTGTGAAACACTGTGCATTTCCCTTGGGATGAATCAGAAGGTGAAGAAGATAAAAGAAAATAAGAAAATATAGGTGTATTCATAAGGAGGTGGTCGAATGACCACATAAGGGAACACAATTCACTGGCCAAAAAAAGAGAAAAAAGACATAACTTTCTCAGTATTGACATAGTTAAGCAAAAAAAAAGAGCAAGGTACAGAGCTGTGTGAATAATGGGTATCATCTGTGCAAAAAAAGTCCTAAGGGGTAAAATATGTATTTGGAAACACACGCATAATTTCTCTAGGGAGATGTATACAAAACGTCCCCAAGAAGAGCTTCCTGTGTGGGTCTGTCTCCCCAGAGGAGAATGCACGCACACACGCGCACGCACACACACACACACATGAATGGTCAAGACTTTTGCTGCCATGGGGAGAGGTTAGGAGGGCTGGAGGGGACTTTCCACTGTCTTCTCTGATACTATCTCCAAGTTTGAAACACATGAGTGGATTTCCTATTAAAAGAAATTAAATTTTTTAAATGAAAACAAAGAGCTGGGGATTTAGCTCAGTGGTTCCACTGCCTGCTTTGCAAGTGCAAGGTCCTAAGTTCAATCCCCGGTACCAAAAAAAAAGAATGAAAACAAAGAAAGAGGCCACGAGAGGTTTATATCCGCCAGTGAAAGCCCTGTGTTCCAGCCTCCCTGTCCCTTGCTCTGATAGCTGACCCCTAAAAAAGCCCCTTTGTCCCAAGAGATTTACTGAGCAGTCATTGGTTATTGGCCTAGATTTCTTGCCTAATAGTAATGATAGATTTGAGAGTCCTTTGACCAAGGAAATTGTCTAGAAAAGTACAGAAGTGATTCCACTTCCCAGATGCCACCAGAGAATCTCCCTTCAGAGGTACTCTGGGGTGAATGAGCAAAATAACAATTACCCGTTGGGCACTGGATTTCAGTTTTGTAACCAGCAAAGGGTAAAGCCTCTTGGGAGTTTCAGGCGGTATGGATGGAGACTGAGATGGTATCTCAGCCTTGCCTGGGGTCGCAGGGCTGCTCAACCTGGGCACCACCGACTTTTGGGGCCAAACAATTCTTTGTTGTAGGGTTGCCCTGTATACTGGAGAATGTTTGGCAAAATCGTTTGGCCTCTGCCCCTTAGACACCAGTGGCATCCTTCATCCTCTCCACTGTGACAGCCAGAACAGCCTCCAGACATTGCCCAATGTCCCCTGTGGGACAAAGTGGCCCTGGCTGAGAACCAGTACCCTTTGTCACTGTGTTTCCAGGTAACTGCTTCACTCTCCCAGTCAGGAGCGGGACTCCCCCTGCCTGGGCTGCAGCTGCGTTGCCCCTGAGTGAAAGGGTTGACTGGACTTCACTGTGGGTGACCTGCATCTCACAGGTGACAACTACGCCTAACTCTCTTCTGTCTGAGAAAAAAAAAAAAAAAAAACAAACAATCTTGGATTTTAAAAAATAACAATCTGTTGGCAAGGCTCTCTCCCGACCTCCATACAAGGCCTGCAGCAGGTTGGCAATGGAAACAGAGCACACTCAGGCTGGCCAGCTACATGCTATAAGCACCCCAACATTACTGGGGCGACAGAGCCAGAGCCAGACGAGCAAATGTCATTCCCTCCCGTGACTATTTGCAGGCAGCAATGCAGGGTCATCTGGGGTTGTTTTATAACAAATGCAGAGCACAGGTGGGCAAGCCAGGCACCGTCACTTCACAATCCACAGGGACAGCTGTCCTTGGGGGGGACGCAGAAAGGAGCTGCGGCTCTGTGTTTTGATTCATTGGACGCTCATCCTTGGGGCTCTACGAAATGAATGAGCAGAATTTTCCATGGCCAACTGTCCTGGCTGCTGGGCCCTGTGGGGAAAGCGCAGTGTTTACTTACTTTTGCATGTGTTGTTTTTCTCCCAGTTCAGCTGCAGCTCAGTGCGGAAGGTGTGGGGGAGGTGTATATAAAGAGCACGGAGACCGGCCAATACTTGGCTATGGACACCGCCGGGCTCCTGTACGGCTCGGTAAGTAGAAGCTGACAACTCCTCCAGGTGTGGCCAAGGTCTGAGGTTTCCAGAAATCTTGTTACACCGAGAGATCCAAACTGAAAAGCATCAATTAGCCTCTGTTTGTTATTTTTTCCAGTAGGATTGCCACCCTCTACTCTGGCTTATTTTAGGCACATACATGAAAGAGTTTCTTACAGTAGTTTCTCAAAATACTCAAATGTATTATCACACAGACAGAAAGGGAGCATTGATTGATGTTTTGATAACTTGTTAGGCACCCCTCTCAGACTGCCTTATACCCTGATACCCACCTTATACCCTAGTTCATCCCAGAAGTGTTCCTTGAGCACCTACTATGTGGTATAGGTGTGTACATTAATGCTTTTTATAAAATTGACCAAGCTGGACATGATGGTCCTTGTGATCCCAGTTACTTGGGAGGCTGAGTCAGGAAGGTCACTTGAGACCAGAAGTTCAAGCCCAGCTTGGGTAACACAGTGAGACCCCATCTCAAAAAAACAGGAAAGCAGTAGCCCAGGTTCTAATAATTTACATGTCTTGCATGAAACTCTGAAAATAGCCCCTTTTATTCCAGAAGGGTCATCTACAACAATGAAAAATGTAATAAATAAATTCAAACATTTGCCAAATGGCTCCTACAGCACCCAAGTAGCATCCTGGGTGCTGAAGTTATGTAAAGATGAATGAGTCATGTCGGGAAGTACAGTCTAATGGTTTCCTCAGTAGCAAAACTCCTCCACCTCTGCTCTGCCCCGACCGAGCTAATGCTCTGTACATTTGGTCTCTATGAGAAATGAAGAGAAACATAGGCAATCTGATTTTGCCCTGCTTGGTATCTGTGCTCAAACTTGTAAGTGGAGAGAGAGCTGGAGCCAGTAAGTGTGGGATCTGCAGTGATTCCCGGATTGCAGCGATCCTACTGTGTATCCTCACAGCTGGTACCTAAGGTTTGGTGGAAATTCATGATCCGGTCCAAATCCCTTCTTGCCTTTTATTTTAAAAAATGCCTACAGAAAAGCAGCCAGTAGGTCGGGGGCTTCCTCTGACTCACATGGAGTTGCCAAGTGAGAGCCAGCATGGGTGCCCCTCTCCTCAAGAGGTGGCCCAGGGGAGGCGCAGGATGTGAACGCAGTTGTGTGCCCCTCACTGTCCACTAGGGGTCAGGATGAGGACTCCTCAGAGCACTAGGAAGCCTCTCTGGTGCAGTCCGCTGAAATACAGAGCGGAGGGGACAGCTTGAAAGGGTTTGGAACATAGGCAGTTACTGCTACGCGGGGAGTTTTTATAAGGCTGTTCTTCCATTTGGTAATAAAACCAACCAACCAGTCATTCAATCTCAGACTCACAACTGAATCTCATGCTTATGCCCCTCTGGCAAGTTACTTGCCCCCTCGGAGCCCTGTCTAAAATGGGACAGTAACAGACAGTGACCAGCTCCTCTGCAGCTGCAGAGGGTTTGGTGAGAGGACACTCAGAGCACCCCGAGTTGGGCACTTCAGCACCACTGAGACAAACCACCAGCACAGTGGCTTAGGTGATAGGTTACAGTTTTACAGCTTTTCTTCTTTAATCAACTTTGATATTTATTATAACCTTGTTTTACATATATAAAAATACTAAGGAAGAATCACTAAATCCAATTTTTGCTGGGCTCCAGGCCCTCTCCCTCCATGGATACTTCGCCTGGACTCTGATCTTAGTGCACTGTGCCCAAGGATCATTATCTTTTTCTCATTGATACAGAGCAGTTCTAAAGTGCCTCAAAGCTCTGCATCGTGCTCTGAACAAATTGGAGGTATCAACCCATCCTTCAAAAGGGCCTTTTTTGAGCAGTTTGAAAGGGTATATTCCATAATATTGTTATCTTTGAGGGTGGTAAGTGGGTGACTTTCCAATGTATGAATGCCTTCTTGTATTTTCTAAATTTGCTACAGTGAGCATATGCCACCTAAATAACCAGGGGGAAAGAATGCTAAATATAAACAACAGAGAGCGACCACAACAATAGGCACGAACCAGAGGTCGAGTCACTCGCCTCCAGCACGCTGCCAGAGCTGACAAACCCTGGCCAAGGCTGCAGTGGGGCTGGCTGAGCCGATGACTCAGCCACTGCGTGCATGTCGACCGCTCCACGCTCACAGAGACGCGGGGGGGGGGGTCATTCTCACCTCTGTCACAAAACACGGACCAGACACGCGCGGAAGAGCGTCACAGGGTGAGCCCTCCCTGCGGGGGGGACGTGACCTACACTTCCTTCCTTCCACCCAGCCGTGAGCATCCATACTAATGTGTGGACCGAGTTCCTTTGGAGGGAGCAGAGTCATCCAGTTAAGTACTATATATTTATATCCCATCTCCTTCCAAAAGGGCCTAACGTAGCTCACCACGTATCACTTCACTAGCTGCTAAATGAGTAAGAAGCAGGAGACTTCCTGTCACGGACTTCCTCAGTGATAGAAGCTAACTATAGGCTGGGGTATGGATCAGGGAGAAGAGTACTTGCCTCGAATATGTGAAGCCCTGGGTTCGATCCCTAGCACTACATACTACCCACACGCTACAGTTAGACAGTTGCCTATATCTAGGTGATGGGCTTTCGGGTGTTTTTCTTTTTCTAAGCCAAGTTTTGGCTTTTTAAAATGTAATGCTTTTTTATAAATAGCAAGATATAGTTATTTTTTTAATTCCTGCACATTTCATATGGAAGATAAATTTTGTATTCATGTTCATATCAGTGCCATGGCAAAACTCTGCTACTGTTACTGAAAATCACCAGGATGGAAGGGAACATTAGCCACACAGGCATGACTTTACCTGTTTTCAGGGTCAGTGCACAGCCACACCTGAGGGCCCCTTGGTGCTCACAGGATCTCCCAGCAGGAGCTCTCTGGTCCTGAGAAGATGTAGAGGAGCTTACAAGAGCCGATGCATGTGATGGGCACCCTTGCTGCGTCCCCATGACCACTCACTGAGATGGGTCCCCCCTTATTCTAATTCTCCTGAGGAAGAGAGTCAGACACAGAGCGCCAGTCATGTGCCCAAGGTCACACAGCTGGTGAGCAAGGAACCCCATTTACAGCTCCTCCCTAACAGCGATACCCTCTTTTGGTTTTATCCTTTTAGCAGACAGCAAGTGAGGAATGCTTGTTCCTGGAAAGGCTGGAGGAAAACCATTACAACACCTACATATCCAAGAAGCACGCGGAGAAGAATTGGTTTGTTGGCCTCAAGAAGAACGGAAGCTGCAAACGTGGCCCTCGGACTCACTATGGCCAGAAAGCAATCTTGTTCCTCCCCTTGCCAGTCTCCTCTGATTAGAGAAATCCGTTCTGGGTGCCAACCACTCCAGAGGAGACTTGAGGGATCCTCACCTGGTAGACCCCCAAATGCTCCCCTGACCATTGGCTGCGCTAACTCCCAGCCCACAGAGCCTGAATCTGTAAGCAGTGCACGTCTAAATGCCCAGTTCACTTTTTCCGCAGAGCCCTTTACCCTGGCACAGTTGGGACAGAAGGACCAAATCGCCTGTAGGGGCCAACTGGCCAGGTCCAGTCTGGGTGTGGGTGTCCGCTGCCTCGGGGCGCCTGCTGCAGGCTGAGCCTCTCAATGCAAAGGCAGGGCCGAGGGAAGCGTTACGGGTCTGCTGAGTGGGTCGCCATTAACCCTAATACAGCCTGCTACTGAGTAAACCCTGGCTGGAGTCCCCCCAACATCTAGGCTGACTGCCTTTTTCCCTTTCAGCGTTCCACAAATATTAGCAGAGAAGCTGACTGCGAGGTTAGAGGAAAGCGGTGTTCCATGGCGAAATAAGCACAGAGAAATCGAGCACGGAAGGGATTTGAAATGAAAGGGGAGATGGCATTCTGGTGAACATCTTAGAAGGCTGGGTCCCAGTACAGGATAACTGCACATGGGCAGCTGGGCCACAGGAACACAGCCTGAAAGCCATGCCACTGGCCTTCCCAAGGCTGCGCGCAGCATCGGGGAGGCCTCTGGGGTCTGGGAAGAGCACTAGAAGTGGTTTCTCCATAAAAGCAATGACATGGAGCTTGGGAAGTTCATCTGAGTCCAGGTAGGAGGAGTAGAGAGGGGATGAGGGGACTCTGTCCTCTACAAGGGATGACTTTAGATGCAAGCACTGAGAAGGCGACACCCTGGCTTGTGCTCAGCCACCAGGAAGCAGAGGTCTCAGGGTCCTCCAGGGCACTCACAGGCCACCTGCCGGGTGGCTTGGGCACAGCTGCTATGCTTCCAAAGCCTCCCAGGTTCTGTAGCTGCTGTTGCTGCTTTTCCCCACCATCCTGTAAGGAGCAGATCTTAAAGAAAATTATTCAAATAAAGGAGGCTAAATCCCTGACCCTCACCAGCCTCTGCCTCATCGTACACACACACACACACACACACACACACACACACACACACACACACACACACACACACCCTCGCCGTCCGCCTTTAGCGCAGGCCGTCACAC